CTAGCCCATTTCATAGATTGCATATCTAGCACTGAGGTGCACTTTGATTGCAGAGCCAAAGGAAGTGGTCCAGCCGCAATTAGACATGAGGTTATTCCCTGAGAAGGATCCTGCAGATTTCAGTGTCCTAACTTACTGCAAAGCTGAAACTCCACTGAATGTGGAGGACCAAAGTGATGCTATAAAGCCATGGGTGAAGCCATCCAATACTTCCAGTGGAAAGAACCACTCCAAATCCCCTTCTTGCTGCTTCCACACAGCTTGTCACAATGAGCCGATATGGTGGAAAACTGGGATATGCTAGCAGAGGGAATACAAAACCCATAATCCCCCTTGCGAGTAGAGGTGCTGCCCTTACATTAGGATACAGAGGCACTTTCACTTTCAGAAATGTCACTCAGTTCCTAACTGACTGCATTGCTTCACCTTTTCTTTAGAAAACTTCATGCCCCTGTCCAAAAGGCAGTAAGGTCTACCAACATAAATCCAGACAGCCAAGACATAATAACCCTGGGTTTCTCAAAGGAAGCAAGAAAGTGGCACAAAGGGCAGTGTTTGCAGTCTCTTCCCTGGCTGGGAAATAACTGACATCTGCACTGGTTGATGATTTACTAGATGGTAAATCAAAGGAGGTGGAGTGCAAGACAAAGCAGGCTGAACTCCTTACGAGAAGGTGAGTTGCAGTGGGCCATTAGAAACACCAGCTTGCCAAGGCAGGGCATGGAGTGACAGCCTCTTTGTTCAAAATACTGGGCTCAACTGGAGGGAGACAAACCCCCAAGTCCTTGCAAAGTATTTATTGATACCCACAATCTGGAAACTTGAAATTAAAAAAAATCTGCTGCTTTACCAGCATCTTTTCTCTGCATAGACATTTCATGGCAGAGTTGTGTACAGAGGTGGCTTGCCAGTTTGAAACATGTTGTGCAATAAACAGCGAGGATTAAATGTATTTTGCAAAACTACCCAAGTGCCAACCTCAATGTTGTGTGAGAGAGAATTGTTTCAGACCTACTTACTCCTAAAATCACTAATGTTAAAAGTACCACCTGGGCTCTCTACAAGAGATCTGAAGATGACCATTACAGAACTAGCCATCTCCTTCCTTCTCCTCTCAGACATAACAGGACTTCCTGCTCTCAAGTTTAAGTCGTTTTCAAAGATTTCTCCCTACAGAAAAGTTCTGGGCTCAGTTCTGTACTACCGTACAGCTCACAGATGGGTTCACAGCTGGGACAAAACACAGATGAACAAAAACAGTTTTGTTTTTGCATCTACATTAGTGAGCAGGTAGGGGACTAGGCAACTGTATGGCCTGTTTCTTGCCTT